TGCAAATTGTTTGCAATTTTTTTTGTTCGATTGCTTATTTGCATGCGTGTGCGCTTGTATGAACTGTATGATACAATTGCATGTGTGTCGACTTGAATATCAACTTGTAAAATACAAATAAGCAATTAAACAGTTGAAATTTTTATATAGGTAATAAAGCAAATTTAAGAACCACTGAAAAAGTTGATTTTGCATAATTTTTGATTGTCGTCTCGGACATTACTATAATATAATATGTATATGTATGCATGATTGTATGTTATGTCTATTAATATTTATTAAGTTTTGAGGTTATGTTTTAAATCTGTTGATTTTGTTTTACTACGCCTTATCAAAAATGGTAAAAGCAAAAATTTAATTTTAAATGTATAAAATGGTTGCCCTGTTTTTTTAGGTTACCCCAATTTTCTTGTTATTATTATTTGTTTTCTTTTTGTTTTGTTATTACAAAATGTCTGCTATTCCCTTTTTACAATATTATAAATATTTTTGACTTTAAAATTTTTGCTTTTGACTTATTGGGTTTTTTCATTTGAAATTTTCAAATATAATACAATGATGTAAAATTTTTCATATGCATGTAAAGAGTACATGAATACATCATACATTGTATGTACTTACATTTTTACCACAATAAAATAGTTGCACAGAAATAAATTTTCTATACATGCATATGTACATGCTTGTGGAAATAGAAAGATGTTAGTAAATTTTCATTACAGCATACGAAGATTGTTAATATTTTATTTGTAACATGCATTTTAATTGTGAGTACGTATATATACTTTGATACACATCATATGGGTAAAAGAAACAAAAATTTGACAAGTGGTTGAAAAAATTCATAACCAAATGAAACCAACTATAAATATTTTTTCTCCTTTATCATTTAGCTGTGACAATTGTTTTGATTTTAACTTGTCAAGTGGTAATTATATATAATTTCTTTGGAGAAATAATATTTTTTTTCTCTTGTTAATTTTTACTAAAAAAAAAAAAAATTCAAAATTTTGGAAAAATTACGATATTACGATATTATCTTACGATATTATTCATCAACAGATGTCTTTACGATAATACGATATTATACTTGCACTAGCGTTTGAAAATTCTTTTGCTTAAAAATAAGCAATATTCAATTCAGTTGAATGCTTTTCTTAACGAGATTTCTTTTGTACAGAAACTGGGCACTATTGCGTGACCGTTTCATGAAAGATACCCCGAGATCTGAATTATAATAATAGTGTATTGAAGAAGAATTCAGATTATAAGTGGCAATTGCTAAATTTTTTATCGATACAGTTTTATTATAATTCCGATGTTAAGGATATTTAATTACAAAATTTCATGTGCGTTCTAAAAACATAAACGAAGAATATTCAAATAAGAAACAAGTAAGTACCTGAAATTCTATTAATTTCGATGAAATTTATGATAAAAATTCCTAATATATTAAGATTTCAACATGATGATTTGAGTTAAAAAAATTTTTTTCCTCCTTTCTGAACGTGTCCATTAAAATTAAATAAACCTAACAAAATTAAGGTTACAAGCTCATGTTATTACATAAAAATAATAAGATTGAGTTTAGTAATCTACTAAAAATTATCAATTGAAAATCGTTTTCAAACGTAGTAATCAAAGCATCAAAATCCCTGCTTCCATAACTGTCTTATTCAATTGTGTAATTAAGTTATGAATTCACGCTTCAAAGCGATACCAATAACTTTTTTATAAAATTAAAATCTGCTTTTTAAAAATTGCCTTCACATATGCATACTAACTTAAATATAATTCTAAATATGAAATATGTTATGTCCTTTTTGTGATCCTGCTCTGTTATATATATATATACCCGTACAAGCTTCTATATAACCAAATACCACAAACTAAAATAGTTTGAAGACAATTCTATTAAAAATTACTAGAAAAAAAGAATTGGAAAACAGAGAATGTAATAACAAAAAAACTGGTAAATATTTCTCAAGCTATGTCACAGAGTCAGAACCACATAACCAGAATAAGAGCACGAAAACATTATGGTGGACTGATGGAGACAAGGAGGTTTAATTTAATAAAATAATAGAAAAAAAAATACCAAGGAGTAAAATAACATCTTTATACAAAAAATTTATGCATACATACATAAAAATACATATACACACATTATATATACACTTTAAAAGTAAATATAAGAGATAGTAGACCATATTAACACGCAATACTCACAAGAGTTGACTAGAAAAAACAAAAAAAAAAACAAGCAATTTCATTGATAATAACTATAAGTGGTATAGCATCGTTCCCACAGGAATTTATTGGGTGCGGTCACATTCTTGTCATACATATACATATAATTTTAGACATATAATCATGCCAGTATTTATGTATATGGCCATATTTTAAATTTTCATTTTAGTTAAAAAATTAAAAAACAAGGGAATTATTAGTATAGTGGCGACGACTTTGTCCAACAAAAATATTAGTGTATTTGTATATGGGATTTTATTCTTTTTTTTGCAGGACATTCCTTTAATTTTACATATTCTATATACATATACATGTATTCTTATGATATCTACTAACAAACATACGCGTAGCAATGATACTTTAGAATAGTATACGGTTTTGTCATTGACCAACAGCAAAAAGATTAGTATACCGATAATAGAATTTACGATAACACAATTTAAAAGCAAATATTTATAAAAAGCAAATATTCTAGCAAATCTTGCATATTAAACATGTTTTTTTAAACAAAATTGAGTAAAATATTAATCGGATCATAAAATCCAATAAGCGAAATGATCTCATTCACTTCAATTATTGTATAAATAGAATATTTCCAGACAGAATGTCAGAAAAAATTTTAAATTTATCCGAAAAAATTTTGCAGCCCGTGGGTTTGAATAACATATTGTATTCGAGAAATTTTTATTAATGTTTTCCATTTGGATTGAATTTATATACAATTAATGTTCCAATTGGTTAGCATATTCTTAAAAATTAGCCAAAGATAATGTCCTTATTGTGTCGTATAGATAAAAATTCTTAAATGCTTATGAGAAGTTGATATGACACCAATTTATTTTCAAAACAAAAAAAAAAAACAAATGTACTCCTACAGACATAGATTTCCAAATCAAAAAAAAAAATACAAATTAAAATTTCGTTATGAAAATTATTTTTACTCCTACGTATATGCAATTTTTTTCTTAATGCTGCAAGAAAAAAACTAGAGCAATAATGGGGGTTGACAATCAAACTGTTTAATTGTTCTTACTAATTACTATCAATCCAAATTAAACACTCTACAATCTTTTTGGGAAATCTTTTGAATTTTTTTCGTCCAAATGAGTTTTTGAAAGGATTTTTTTTTTCTACTGAAAAACTAAAAATATTTTTCTCTTTTTCTGTTTTACTCTTTGTTAATTTATTTTTTTTCAACTAAAAACTTATTTTCCTTCTTCTACTTCTACTTGACATATTATTTATCGCGTTCAAGAACATTTCCGCCATAAATTTAGTATTGTAATTTGTAGGCGAACCATGACACAATTTTTTTTTTTTTTTTTTTGCAAATTAACAAAAAAATTAAATTTTTAAATTAAAATATTTTGGCTTTTTAATATAAAACAAGGGAGCAGAAGAAAATTATTATTACTCAGTATTAATATTTTTTTTTTGTTTTTCTAAAATTTTGATTACTTATTTATTAAAATATTTTAGAATACTAGAGCATATACTTAAAATAATGACCTAAAGACGTAAAACTGCACAAATAAAGAATTGTTAAAATTGAACAATGAAATAATAATAAATTTTATGCATCATTATTCATTAAACAGGCCATTCACAGGCTATATAATGTTTGTTTTTATGAGATAACAAAACTAAATTGACAAATAAGTGGTTTGATATGGTTGGCGAGACTGGAAGAAATATCGAAAACTACCATCGGGGATTTAGATAGATTCTTAAAGAGAAGGTGATGACTTAAATAGGCAACTTGTAAGCGTACACTGACCAAATGGTAGTGGTAGTAAAACAGTGCTAATTAGCGTGAAATCTGTGCTAATTAGCGTGCGGTGGACCTGCTGCACCAGTTACATTAACTTGCCAGTCAAGTGGTCCAAAGCAGGAGAAAAATATTAATTGTATATTTAAGAATTCATTAAAAATTTTTCTACTCAAAATTAAACTTATCAATTCCAGAATCTGAAAAATTTATTTTACTGAATTTGAAACATTTTTACATTAAACTACCACAATATTTAATCGCCTATTAGAACATAATATTTAAATGCATATAGCAAAGATGTTATTTTCTTCTCCCTTTCGCTGAAATTAAACGAAAATTTTTCTTTTATTCCCAAAATGTCCTCCACATGATTGCATTTTTTTTTTATTTTTATTTTAATGTATTTTATGTATATACGTCTCTACATATGTAGAATATTATAAAATATATTTTTGAAATTTTTTCCTATTAAAAAACTGGAAATATAATACTTTATAAAGATATATATATATATAGACTCAAGGACAAAAAAAAAAAATAATATTTTTCTTAACAATTCAAACCCACCTACTTATGTACTCTACATATTTATATGTTTTTTTTTTTTGCATTTGTATTAGTTAGTTAATTTATAAGTTTTTCAAAATATTTATTTTAAGAAAAAACAATTTATTATTATTATTAATGTCATTTACAGTATTCTTAGTAGAAGCAATAGCATAACACTGTCTTGGTGAATGTCATATGAAAAAATATCAAATTCTCCATGATTGTCAAATTACTATACCAAAATTAGATTTTACAAATATTTCATATAAAAATAAAAATTATATTTTTTGGAAAATATTTTTAAAATTTTAAAAAATCTCTGAAGAACAATTTAAAATTGAACACAAATTTTTATAAGAACTTAAATAGTGCCTAAAACTTAAATGATTTTCTTGCAAATTAAACGAATTTTAATTCAGAATAAATTCGCTGTTTGATTCCTGATTCTTATTGAGAAAAAATTCGTTCTGTGATTCATTTTTAATAAAAGTGAATTTAATTTAGTAAATTATTTAATAAAAATTTTTATTTATTTACCAAGTATTTAATTCTATTCGTAACACTTTATTTACCTGAAAATAGAAAAGAAAAATTAATTTGAATTTGCATTTATACTAACAAAAAATATTTATTAATAAAATTAAAATATTTTAAAACCGAAGTACTTAAAAATTTAAAAGAGAGAATTTGTTTAGTTTCCAAAGATGAGAGGCAAGCAAAATTACGTTAATATTAATAATCACTCGTTTACTCAACATATATTTTAAATTGATTTACTCAACATTACAAACAGTGAAAGTATCAAACATAGTTGGAAAGACGCTCATACAAAAAATTATTCAATATAAGGTAAATGAAGAGCATTTTTACACTAATTTCTATTGGAAATAATAATTTTACTTAATTCCTACTAACTAAAAATTTTATAAGGCAGATAGATTTAAAATTTTATTAAAAATTCGAATAATTTTCGAACAAAAAATTCGAATAAAAAATAAATCATTAGAAGAAGGGAAAAATTAGAAAATTTAGTAAATTTTGCAAACTAAGTAAAAATTTTGCAGCAAAGCATATCAAGTCAAATAAATTTTTCATGGCTTCTTTAATTTTTTATTAACCAGCCATTTAAAAATTTTATAAAAGAAATATAAAAATTTTTAAGTTGACTTGCTTTTCCAGAATTTGATTTTTTATTTTTTTTTCTTTTACCGTTTACGGAAAATTTGATTTTAAACGTGAATTGCAAGAAATTTTCCATATTAATCAAAGAAAAAAAAATTGTGTTACAAGATAATTAAAGAAAAAGAGTAATGGTGATAAGATCAAGTTTAATTCAATATTTTCATTATGTACGTGCCTACGTTTTTATTTTCTTCTTTCTTTTTGCTAAGAAATTAGAAAAGTAATTTAAAAAAAAAAAGAGATGCGTTCCATAGAGAGAAAAAAAATTTTCTATTTTCGTTTACTGGTTATTGCATTTTATTCATTTATTCTTCTTTTATTATAACTCTCAAGATATTAATGAAAATTAATGAAAATTAACTTTTCTTTTAGGGCAATTATTTTGAAAACCTGTTAAACAGCACTTTCAAGTATTGTTTTTTGTTTTTAATTATCCACTCAAAAAAGATGACTAGGCAGCTAATTTTATGTAAAGATCAAAAATATTTTGTTACAAAATTAGAAAATCATTTTAAAATTTGGATTGTTTTGTACGGCAATAAAATATATACAACAAGTAGATGCTATTTCTTTCATGTTCTTAAATTCTGGGGTGTGTGAATATGCCAGGCTCTTGTAAATAGGCTCTGTTTGTCTCGGTTTATATAAAAAATTTTATTGGTTATTTATTAATTAAGAATTTATTAAAATTCTAAATCGTAAGACAACCGAATATGGCAGTGAAATTTAAACTTATATGTGATATTCTGAGAAAACATTCTATATAAAATAAGAGCATCTAAATATTGGGTGGGATAAAAGCTATCATTACAAATTTTAGAAAAATAATATTCCAGCATTTTTGAACATTATTCGAGGATGAAATTGAGGAGTTTATACTAAAAATCATAATTGATTTCAATAAATGTTAAAGTAAACTAAATTCTTCCCTATCTGCTTCTTTTTTTGACATTTTGTGCACAACTATTTTGTATTTGAATCTATATTTAAAAGATGTAGAATATTTTCAACTGTTTAGAAAAAGAAGAATTGAACAGAATTGAAGAAAATATGTACATTTCATTTTCTTTCTAGGTAAAAAAATATCCTCATATATGGAGGAAAAATAGAATTCCATTGAATTAGAAGAATGTCGCGAACAATTTAAATTTGTATATAGAAAGAGTACAGAAACAAATAAAATAACATGGTACAAGACAAATTTTCATTTTTTAAATAAGCTAAATAGTTTTTTTTCCTTCCGTATTCCAATTCAGTTTTCTTCATATTTTCCTAATATCACTTTGACTTGCACGAGGAATAGTACAATAATGTCCTTAAAAATATTCTCAAACTATTAATAATTTCTATAATGATGCAATTTCATAAATTAGTTTTCTTTTTAAATTTATGAAAATTTCTTAAGTCCATTGGTCGAATATTGGAAAATTTATAATCCAAGAAAATTTAAAATTAAAAAAATATTACGTAAACTTAGTAACTTCCTATATATAATGTTATATTCTAAATAAATAAGTTAATCTCTAAAATATATTAAGTAAATGAAAAATGTCAATATATTTGAAAATTTATATCGCATATGTTTCCACAAAGATGTCATGATCTAAAAGTTCACTAGGAATTTATAGTTTTTCTTGTATTCATTTTTAAAAATGCAACTTTTCAATATAAAGATGGCAAAAAAAAAATATTATAGTTTGGTTTGATCTTGTTTCTAGTTTCTTTTCTCCTGTATGTCAAACTATTCCTATACATTATATTATAAATCGCATATACATACATACTTATTGTATATATGTATAAAAAAATCCTATATTAATCTTATATAGATAATTATAATAAAAAATTCTATTTTACGGTCTTTTAGTTATATCTTGATGTCGATTCCAATCTTGAAGAATAATAAAGTTAAAAAATAAAAAATTAAAAAAAAAATGTGGTAAAAAGCAATTCTGAATACATTTAATATAAAAGCAACATAGAAAAGAAGAAAAATTGGAGACAAACATCTACAACAAAAAAAAAAAAATAAAAACGAAAAATTCTCATAGAAATGATATAGTGAAATTTGTACACATGCACATAAAAACATATATATATATATATATATATATATATATATATATATATAAATACAATTTATACTTAAATGCAATCTACACAAGACAAAATTCAATTTTTTATTGATAGAATTTCAATTGCACGTCTTAATACATTATAAATATACAATCAAATAAATTTTATGGTAATAGTATAAACAGGGTGTTTTTAGTACTACAGTTTACAAGTTTCTTAGAACAGGATTGAAAATTTATTTAAGATAAAAGTCATTATCCTTAAAAATATATGAAAAAATTTGCATGAGTAATTGTAAGTAATTTTATATTAAAATTCATAATATAACAATAAAGCCGAAATTCACTCAATAAATTTAGTAAGAATGAGAAGATTGGAAATCATTTCTAAAAAGTGATGGTTGAAGACTTTAATCGAATATCAATCTTATCAATATTTTAAAAATCAAAGTAAAATTATTCAAAACCAGGAGGCAAGCTGGTATTCAGAAATAAAGTCTAACAGATCAATTGATTTAAAAAAATTTCGTTCAATTTTTGCTTACTTTTTTCTGACAGCGTCTACCACAACAACAATTTCAACGACATCTCTGGTGCGCCACTTATGACATTTTTATTATTTCCTAATGAAATTTATGAATCCTAATGTAATTTTCTCTCTTAAAACTGTTATACTAATACTTTGCATTGTTAACTAACTATTATTTCGTTTGCAGGTGTTCCATCTTCAATTTTTCAAGTTATTTAGATTAAAAATCTAAAATCAATAATAAGGTGCGCAATTTCCTTGTTATTTGTAATTCCACTAATCTATCTAATTTAGTTGAAAATGAAATGAAATTTGAGAAAAGCAAAACAGGCGGTAGAAGCATATTTATATTCGAAACTAACTTACTCGTCAATACTTATGTATATAGAGAACAAGCAGGGAATGTGAGATAAATTTGTTCTTACTATTTTATTTGTGTATATGATAAAGAAAAACTAAGTAGAAAGGAAATTTATTTGTTTTTTAAACTGTAAGGTATAAAACGTTCAATGCATAAATACTTGTGCATCCTACAAACGATGCCAAAATAAAAATGAAATAAAAAGTATAAAGTTAAAAAAAAATAAGAAAAATATACATATGAAATGACACCTGGTGATATGGGACCCAAAAAAAAAATTTAAAATTTCCATTACCTTCATTGGATGATAAATAAATCGCAAGATGACATCAAAGAAAGACTTTTACTATTTTATGAATTTTTTATTATAAATTTAAAGGAATTTTTTTTTTGTTTTTTTTTTTTTCGTTTTTATATGAACTTATTTAAATATTTAATATTTTAATTTTTAGAAACTTATTTTGCTGTAGAAAATATTCAGTTCAATTCTTCATTTCGTTTGGTTTTTTTGTTTTTTTTTTGATTGAATCAATATAGAATTTCATATTAAGTGTTATAAATTGCAATTTACTACACGTATACCTTAAAATAGTAAATTTATATTTGAAATTTAAAATACAATAGGAATTACAATTTATATAACAGTTTAAGAGTTAGAAAATGCAATAAATTAATTCTAATATAAAAAATAAGAATGTTACATTGCGTGAATATATTCCATAATTATAATCACGCCTAGTTCTGAATTGTTCAGCGTTCCACGCGGTTCTTAAAAAATACGCCACCCTATTTCAAAGCAGTATTCAATAAATATATCACATTTATGCATAATGATTGCATCCCTCTTTCAGGCACTTATTATACATTACTTTGCATAATATATGGTAGATTCTGGTGCTGATTGTAACTAAATATTTGAAAATAGTTTTACTTATTCGATTCAATCATTTTCTTATAGCTGTTATACAAAATTTATCAAACAGGTTCTATAATACTTTATTGTGATTTAATCTATACCGTGTCTATATCTCATCAAATATTTTAACAGAAATTGCAGCTCAAACACACAAAGGTGTAAATTCATACTAGTTAATCGATACATGTAAAGTTTTTATCTAGTTGAGACGGTTTGTCTCTTACTATATATAAACATCTTCATTTCCCTATGTAAATTTCTATACTTAGATCGTTGATGTGGAAACTGTGGAATAGTTGCAATTCAATTTATTAAAGTCTTACAATTTTAATTTTAATGTATGCTGTCCATGAAGATGAAAATATATGATTATTTCATTTCCAACTGATGCTTTCTCAAAATACATTTTTATAATAACATGAACTGAAATAGAATTAAGCTGATGATTTGAGCTTAAATACTAATTCTGGTCGGTATAATTTTATATTTAATTATAAAGGTTGCATTCG